CGACCGCTTAAACCACTACACCATCCGTGCAGTCATTAAATTAAATAATAAATAATTTTGTATCTATTTTGGACTTGGCCTCGGCCATTGGATGTCAACAAGGTGATCCTTTGGGACCAGTTATTTTCAGTTAACAATACACCCCATTATTGAACAGGTAAAGTCTAAATTAAACATTTGGTACCTTGAGGATGGAACTCTAGGAGGGGAAGTAGATACAGTTTTATAAGATTTATCGTTTATAAAAAATATATTTAGGTCCATTGGCTAAGAACTCAACTCTGAAAATAGCGAAATTTTTATTTGTGATAATACAGACAGTATCTCCACTGTACAAAAAATCTATTCATTAGCACACAACAGTAAAGTTTTAGAAAAAATGTGTCTTCGCCTTCTTGGGTCTCCGGTCTTGGAAGATGGTTTTCAATCTTCTATAGAGGACTAAAATTAAAAATTTAGTGATTTTTCGTACCGTTTGATTATAATTAATGTCCATTTGGCTCTTACTATACTCCGTTTTTACTTAAATTTACAAATGCACTTTGGAAACATTGGAACTCATCCCCACTTTGGAAACATTCATCACTTTTAGAAAAAGTTGACAAAATTATTCTAAACACCCTCAGTAAAGTTTTGTTTTAAATAGTGTAAAAATTAATATTTTAATTAATTAATTGCATAATAATATTTTTCTTTATTGTAGTATAGTTTATGTATATGTATTTGTAATGTTTATGTATTTACATATGCTTATGTAGTATAGTTACCTTTATTTTGTACATTGTTAGCTGATAAGTTTCTATTTTGTAAATATTTTTGTTTTAATGATCGCCATAGATAAGGATTAATATCATATACTTAAAAAAAAAGAACTACTTGACTTGAAATTAGTAAACAGTTTAGTTTCCAAAATGAACCAGACTACTTTTCAGGAATCAATATAATACCTCACACATCTCACACACGGCTGTCTGATCCCAAACTAGACAAAGCCTGTGCTATGGTAACCAGACTGCTGATAAACATACTTATATATTTCTAAATACATACATATTATAGATAAATTACTCCCAGACACAGAACAAACGATCGTGCTCATCACAAAAATATTTGTTTGGGGTGGGAATCGACCCCACGACCTCCGGTTTAGCAGTCAGGGTCACTAACCACTTGACCAACAGGCCCGTCAATATGCCTTGAGGTATCTTTAGAATGTCATGCCACCATGTAACACAGTAAGATTAGTTTAAAAAAAAAGTTTTTTTTATTTATCGTCAATGTTTACTTTACCTCTCCTCCAGAATTCTATGCCTATAAACAATGTATAATTTCTAATTGCTTGGTCTAATTAAGACGTTAAGAATTTTAAATATTAAAAAACAGTTAATTAGTACATAAGAACCTTTAGCAACAATTTTAATAATTATAACATACCACTTTAGATAGCTCAAAAGAGTAAAAATTTTAAAACTTATCAAAGAATTCTAAACCATTTTACGTAAACAAGTTTTAACATATGACCTGGTTATCTGTACACATTAGATAGGTATATTCTACTTAACCGTTACCTATCGTATGATGCCTTCAATTTTTGGGGTTCGTTGTAAGACTAAGAACCTGTAATAATAATAACCTGTAGGACTAGAAAGCTGTAATTTTGCATGAGCATAGTAAGTGGTAAAATAAAAATGTATAAACAATAATAATATAGGTATCTCCCGCACACGTAAAAGGATAATATTTTTTATTTAGATGACTGCTCCCTTGGTGCAGTGGTAGTGTATGCGACTGCTGTGCTGAGGTGTCGGGCTCGATGACCGGGTCGGACCCAATGTTTATAATATGATCTGCAAATGTTTCCTTCGAAGTTTTTATTTACAAAAAAATTATCGTAAGTAAAGATCGTATGAAAGAATATTTCAGTCGATCTATCTTTCATAGTACAAGCTCTGCTTAGTTTGAAACTAGATGACGTTGTGTGTGACACACACATCCGAAAATATTATTATTCATTTCTCCCCTATGTGCTATCCGTAAATTATATGCTTGTTAGAGTTGCCGCGAATAGTGGTTATAGCGAATAGTCGAATACCGATTAATCGCCATTCACTTTGGCGAATAGTCGAATAACTCGACATCACTATTCGACATAAAAAACACATTAAAAATATTTCTAATTTCTTCTAAGGTTGTGAGAAAAGAAAACAATATAGTTAAAGAAATCTGTTTCGTGTTATACATATTTACATATATGTAGTAAATTTAATTTTCCACTTTTAAATGCTGGCAACCCTTTTCATAGTTTACGGGGAATACCCGTTTTGTATAACCCAGCGTTTATTATTTCCCGCTCAATCAATACGCTAGTGTTTAGGATAGGCGGCACGCATTTGTTATTTGATTTTAGACATCGGTTGTCGTGTTTTTATTTCTATACTTGTTTGAAAATTGCTATTGAATTAAAGACTTGATGAATACTTAATTAGTTAGTGTTACTTAAAAAGAAGAACAATCATGCCTAACCCAGGAAAAAAATCTCATGTTTGGATACATTTTGAAGAGGAAGAGTTAGGGAACAGTGTAAAATGTGTTTTGTGTGGTGTAAAAATAAGTAGAGCAGCAAAAAAGCAGGAACAACGGCGGAATCGTTTGAAATTCAAACACCCAGGTTTTTTACTTATATTATTTATTTTACCGTTACTAAGTAATAATAGAATTTAGTAAGAATATAATATTTGTTTCAAAAGTTATTTTCATTTATGAAGTATATTGTACTATTGTGAGTTTTGTAGCACATTATTTAAATAATTGCCGCTACCTACGTTCCTGATTAAGGGTTCTTTTCTTTGTTCGCAGATGAGTATTGTAAAATTTATGGAAGCTCAAGTAGTCATGCTCAACATAATGCTCCCGCAGAGTCATCTTCAAGTACCTCTTGTCCACTCAGTTGCCCAGTCAGCCTTTGGTGCAACAGTCACTGCAACAACTACTTGAAAAAAAAAAGCTCTGGGACATCAACGATAGCCGAGCAAAAAGATATCACTACTTGATTGGTGAAATGATTGCTATTGACAACGAGCCACTTTCCATCGTCGATCATCATGTGGGCTTTAAACGTCTTATTAATAATGCTTTGCCGCAATACACCATTCCTGGCAGGACATATATCACCGAGAAAATAATTCCAGACATGTATGAGAGAGTGGTTAACAAACTAAAAACGAGTTAGAAAGGGCTGAAGCTATAGCATTCACTAGCGATCTTTGGACTTCTTCTGTAAATAATGCTGCATTTCTGAGTTTCACAGGACACTGGATATCAGAAAACTTTAAACTGAATCATGCTGCTCTAAACATGGCACATTTTCCTGAATCACACACATCAGAAAATATGAAAAGAGAACTGTTACAGTGTGTAACGAAATGGGACATACCCATCACTAAAATTCAAGCGATTGTTCACGATAATGGGGCGAATATGGTTAAAGGAGTTAAGGAAACTCTACTTCCTTCAGAGCGTTGCTTCATACATACTCTTCAGCTGGTGATAAATAATGCATTAGATAACAGTTCTCCAATAAAAGAAATTCTTACTAGTGCCCGCCGCATAGTGACACATTTTAATCATTCAGGATATACAAAACTTGAAAGTATTCAATCTGAGCTCGGACTTCCTAAGCATAAAATGATTCAAGATATTCAAACTCGCTGGAACTCAACATATTACTTACTGGAGCGTCTATCTGAACAAAAAAGAGCAATTTCGGTGTATATTTCAGAATCAAGGAGCGTGAATTTTGAAAATTTGACCAGTGATCAGTGGGAGGTTATAGAACATCTGTTAAAGCTCTTAAAACCTTTCGAAGAGATAACAAAAATCACGAGTTCCACATATGCACCTATATCAGATGTGATACCTAGCACTGTTTCATTAAGCAGATACCTAATGAAAGATGCGCTGATTCAACAAACTGCACACGTTGATGATTTTAGAAAGGCGTTGATAGAAAATATGGAAGCCCGTTTTAACTTGGACGATCTATGCTTTAGGAAGACATATTACTTGTCGATATTCTTAGACCCCCGCTACAAGAACTTTTACTTTGACGCTACCCAAGTTGAACGGATCCGTAGAGCTGCGCTCAGAGAAGGTCTTAGGCTCTCTTTAGATGACGAAAATGATGATTCGGATCCGGAAACGGCATCCAAAAGGTCTCGTTTAGACAATGAAAGTGAGCAGATCGATTCGGAAACTCATAAACTATTTTGGGCATGTTTTGAAGAATCATCTATAGAGCAACCTACTGAAGAGCAACCCAAGAATGCCATTGCTGAAGAAATCGCCAACTACATCGCATTACCAAAGGCTGACAGAAAAATAAACCCATATGAATGATGGACTTTGAGTACCAATAAGAATAGATTTCCTATTTTAAGTAAGCTTGCTAAACGATACTTAATCACACCAGCAAGCTCTGTTTATGCAGAAAGACTATTTTCCGAGGCAGGTTTAATTTACGAGGAAAAACGAAACCAACTTTCTCCCGAACGTGCAGAAAAAATTGATTTTTTGCACCACAATCTGCCTCTGTTGGATTTTAAATATTAATTAAAAAGCCTAACTAATTTAATTTCATGAATATGATAGGCACAGGCACATATTACAGATAATAATTGATATTTTGTATTGTTTTAATAGGGAAAATAATTAAAAAAATGTTTATTTTTAAATCATTAGTTTTTTTGTTCATTAAAAGTTTATTTTAGACGAATATCAAAAAAATGACGAGTAATGCCGAATACCGAATAATAGCGAGTATTCGCGGCAACTCTACTTGTTAGTTTTTCAAGCGACTACGGCATCCTACACGGCGCGTGGCCAGACACGGACTTGGCCAGTAATATATTTTCGTTGTACCCATTTGGCCGCTCAGAAACAATCAATCTGTAGTCTCTAGAATTATAACGTTATACTTTTTATTAGTCTGCTTTATTAAGATCATGTTTAGTATAGTTTTGTGTATTCTATTATGTTTTGTGTTTAATTTCTGGTGGAAACGAAAGTGTTATGATCCTCATGGCCCTCCAATACATCCTGGTGCGCTACCTATCATTGGAAATGCCCATCAATTCCTTGGAGACGGTTTAAGTAGGCAACATATTTAGACTTTAATTTTTACCAATAATATAGACGCTAAATTGTTAAATGTCATTGCATCTGTCTATGTGTTTAGTTTAATATAGATATATTTTAAACATATCTTAGTGAAAATATTAAGTTAAAATGCTACACTCAACTAGCTAATACACATAATATTATTACAGAATTATGGAAGTTTTTGAAAGAGCTTTCTTACTTTAGCCTGAAATGCGGCGGAGTGTCTACTGTGTACTTGGGGCCGTTGCACCGTATTTACAGTAAGTAGCCTTCAGTACTGAATTTAAAGAATAAACAATAATTATAAGATCACCTCTACTTTCGGCAATTACTCGGTAAATAGTTTGGAAATTTCCAACTTCAATTCAGCATTAAGTGATTGTGACGATATGTCGTATCCCTCTTATACAACAGCCGTATGATATTTTTCAACCGACCTCAGAAACACAAAAGAGGAGGTTCTCAATTCGGCTGTGTTTTATTTTTGTGTGTTTGTTACACGATATCTCCGTGAATTGTCGACCGATTTTCAAAATTATTTTTGAAATCGTAAGAGTATACTTCTCAGGTCGTCCCATTATCACCAAATCAAGATTTCATTATGAGATCCTAGAAAAATCGAGGGAAACCCTCAAATTTTACAGTCCCGACAACGTGTTTTAACTTGTTCGTCTAGCTATAAAGGTATTTGCGTTTCGTAGTCGTTACCTTATGTTGCTGAGCTGATGATGGAAGGGTCCTTGACCTTAAAGAATTAGTGGACAACTCTTTTAATAATATAATATTGTATTTACTTGGTTTGATTCTTTCAAGATATCTGTTAGGTGTTTTTTTATGGAATAGGGGGCGAACGAACAGACGGATCACCTGATGGAAAGCGACTACATGAACACCTGCAACTCAAGAGTCACAGCCTTTGAGGAAGGAGTACCTACGCTCTTTTTTATTTGTGTTAACTTATAGAGATATGTACACAAGAAAATTATTAATGAGATAACAAAACATTTAGATAAAAAAATTTTTGTTACGCAAATATTTACATGTTTTTTTACCTCAAAACTCTTTTGTTGACCGATTTGGCAAATTCTTTTTTTTTTTTTATTTGGAAGGGTTTTTTTCCTTTGTGTTCCATTCAAGTGAGAAGAAAAAATTACACTCAAAGTGGTGGAAAATGAAGTAATGTTGAAAACTATATTTTAACGGGCTTAAATTTAATATCTTACTACCTTATCTAAATAAAGTAACGGACTTTTAAACTAAATTAAATCTAATCTAATCTACTACAGTTTGGTAATACATGGTTGTCTACATGTCATACATGGTAATACAGAAGAGATCGCAAATAGCGGTAATTCTACAACTTTTTTTCATGTATTTAGTTTTACTTTCTTTGTGTAACTGTTCTTAGATCAGAAGACTTATACAAATATTATGTCTTTTGTACAATAGAGTTATCTATTTATCTATTACACACAGTACGTAGTGTATTTAATATCATATCTATTTATTCGAAACGTATCTTACACTAAAAATAGTAAAATAAATTCTTAAAAACAAAATTGATTCTACTTTAAGCAATGCTAACAAACAACATAAATAATAAATAATTATTAACAAATCTAAGTGAAAAACTAAAATAAGTGCGACCCTCAATTTCACAGGTAACATTATAATAGCAATAGATATCTTCTTATCTAGTCTGTTTGAAGTCAAGTCCGATCCACAAAATTATTTATCGGCTCCCGAAAGAATTAAGAATTCAATATAATTCTAATGAAACATCGCAAATTTTGTTAATTAATAAAGACCAACCACACTAATTACCTACACAAACTTATCAACTACTTAATAACGCATTCAAAGTAGTAATATCATGTCCAAGTGGCGTGCAATAGGAGAGGCCTATGTCGATGCGATTGCTGCTGTTATTTTAGTATTATCAATTAGATTGTTTTTAAAGTCGGTTCAACTTTAAAAAAAAAGGATTATTACGTAAGCATTAATTGCAATTACACTATTTTTTCATCGGAGGCTTAAATATTAGGTAGGAAGAGGATTCCGGCGGTTGGGACCGAAATGAACTGGAAACTGGACGCGGTCCTATTTCCCTGATTCATTTAATTGTAATATTTTTCTTGCGGGGATTAGAGAAATAACTATGGTTTATAATTAAAAAAACTCTTTGATTAAATTTCCGTCTATAATTAATATTCCGTTTCTCGTCTATAACACCGATGGCAATAGTATATGCCATACAGTTGCATAAGTTTTAATGGTCATCTTTGTCAAATGTTTTACATTAAAAGTTTTAGACATGGGAGAGCCATGCTTCGGCACAAATCCGGCCTATTTGTGACCGACCGGACCACAGCCTCACAGAAAACCGCTGTTAAGTAATTCCTTTTTTGCTTTTTACTGAGTGGGTGAGAAGCCCAAACCCCCGCACGCCCTGCACTTGTGGCTCTAAAGTTTTAGTTACTTCTTACAAACCCATCCATTATACCGTAAAAAAGGCATTGAATTTTGACAGTTACTTATAATTTTTTTAACTGTTTTTCAGTTGTAACTGATCCGGACGATTGTCTGACATTATCCAACGCCTGCCTCGATAAGCCGTTCATTTACGATATCGTCAAGGAATGGGCTAACAACGGGTTGATTACCGCCGATGGTGAGGCTAATTGTTCACTATCCCATTTCTTTTTTTCCAAAAAATTTAAAGTATAAGCAGCTCAGTTCGAATAAGTGATAACAATAAAAGCCCCTCAAATGATGCTCCCACATAATACAAAAGTAATAACATTTATTTTTATTTTATAACTTTTACACAAGTACATGCATCGGCGGACTTAATGCCTAAGGCATTCTCTGCCAGTCGACCGATTGGGCGATGCTGAGAAAGAATGAGGTAGGTGCATTTATGGGGGGGTATTAAATGATAGAGGTTTTTTTACTATCTTAGAATTGGTGCATACATCTAAATACCACACACCTACACATACACACATACATATTTATACATACATACACATATATATTCATATATATTACACAAAATATAATAATTTTAGGCGATGAACTAGAAGCTCGTTGAATGTGCTATTTCACTCAGCAAAAGCACTTTCACGTTCGTCTTAAAAGTCGTCGTAATAACATGCTTTTGAACAATAAATAAAAAGCATTGACCACGATTACATAGTTACAGTACTACATATATACAGTAAGCATCGAGCGAAGGGAGTTGAATGAATTCCGGGGAGCCTGAAGGGCTGTATCAACCTCTGTCACATCGCTCGCAAACTTAACCAACAACTTATCTCAAATTTCTGGGCTGATACTTACATTTGCATTCAATTTTTGACGAGGATCTTTAGAAATTGCATTTTTATTTTCAATCCCTGTCTTACGTAAGTTCATAGCTATTAGCTTTTATTTGTAGTATCAATATGGAAACCTCATAGAAAACTTCTAAATCCAATGTTCAACCAGAAGATACTGCATGAAAATTTAGAAATATTTAATAGCCAAGCTAGGAGGCTGGTGGAACAAATGTCAGTTGAATTGGAAAAAGGGAAATTTGCTACACACAAATATATAGTTAGCAACAGTCAGGAGACCGTTTGCCGTAAGTTTAACTACTGTCGTAATATAAATACCTATCAATAAATAAGTAACAGTACAAAGTATCACTTTTCCAGAGTTAGCTTCTTAGTGCTGTATAAAAACATAAGTCAAAACAAAACATAACTCCTTAAAGGCTTTGTATTAAACAGAAGTGTTTGATACAAAGCCTTTTAGGAGTAAGCCAAAAAAAAGCTGTGCGACTGGTATCTTTTTAAAATTATATAATATAAAATCTAAATAGTATCGCTTTAAGTAAATATCATAAAAAACAACAAAATAAAATTCTTTTGCAGAAATCATATTAAACTTAACAAGTGATACATTTGATGATGTAATTAAGGGTTACAGTAAAGCAACTCAAGATTTACTCGATGTTTTTATTGCAAAATCGCAAAAGTTATGGTTACATATCCCTTTTATCTTCAAAAGAAGCAGTTACAAGAAAAAGCTAGACAGATCGATTGAAATAACCACCGCAATTCTAAATCGGGTAAAGTAAACAATGTCATATATGGCTTTTGAACTCGCTTTTAATTAAATTCATGGGGGATTCCAAGATCTCCAAGATCTCAGTTAGATTCTTACTTTCCCTGGAACTCGTCGAATGTTCGTCGTGACAGTTAGAACGTCATGAATATATGAACATTGGCAGTAATAAAAGGTTACAGACACTTTCTCAATCCAACTTTTTTTCGAAGCGAAGTTCGAAGATGCGAACATGAGGACAAACGTGCGACTTATAAAAAAGCATAGCTTTTCTGGAGTGCAATACTTTCACAATCAACAAATAGAACTTTAATATGTACCAGACTCACCACAAACGGGTGTTCAGAAACCTATTATTCAACTTACGTTAGAGGTTTAACAACAGGAATACTGTTTTAGATGCAAAGAGGTGTATGTTGTTATCGTTTTGCCACATGCTATATGCTACTGAATACAATATTCCCATAGCTTATATTACATATAAAATTTAGGGAATTATTATATTAAATAATTTTCAGGTAATTCAAAATCAGAAAGCTGAGCTAAAAAAAAGTAACTTTACAGTAAATCCTAACAGAGCAGGTGAGTTAAGCAACTTGTTAAGCTATCTACTTTCTTCATCTTATTGGTCAAAGTACTCCTGTTATATTCTTAAGAGCTGTGTATGATGCTACCTACAATGGCACTATTTGCTAACGAGAGAAAGATTATGAAACTACCACTAAACCTAGTTGTGTAAGTTGACATTACACAAATGATGGGCGGCGATTGTCACTTTCCATCAGGTGACCCGTCTGCTCGTCTGCTCCCTCTGTCATAAAAAAAAAGTGCGATGTGACTGGTGTCACTTGACGCTAATTGGCGTATTGAAATATGTAAAAAAAATGTTGTATGTGTTGTAAAAAATCATTACTCTTTTATTTTTGTACAAATTTTATGTAAGTTTTTATTATGTTCTTCTGCTTATTTGGCTTATTTAGCATTGTGACGTGGGCCTCCTTTACAATTCTCCATTCCTGAGAGAAATAAGCAAAAGAAAAATGCCGAACAAGAAAAGAAGTAGAGCTGTGCACATTGTAATGTCAACAATTAATAATAATTATTACGTTATTGCAATAGTATTGCAACAAAAACCAGATCAAACCTTGTGGACAATAAAGCATTTTCTTTTTTGTTCTAAGTTTTTTATATTATATAAATAGTCCGTGTGGCGACGGATTAGGAATACAAAGTGTCGTAAGAGGCGACTAATGAAGCAAACTACGCAGGACAACAGCACTGCAGAGAGAAGGAAAACTTGACACAAACCCTATACCAACCCGTCTGGCCAGCGTGGTATAGTAGGCCAAAACCTCTTTTCTAAGGAGAGGCCTATGCCCAGCAGTGGACTAGTAAAGGCTGTTGATGATGAAGATTTTTATAGTTTTGCAGTTTTGCAAGTTGATTTTTTGTAACAATAAGGTAACGTACTAAAAAACAAGCATATTCAACTTTGTTGACATTTGAAACATGTATAGCTCCATCTGTTTACTTATATTTACTTTTATGTTTTACATTATTTTATTTTATTTATTTTCACTCCAAACAGTAACATTCTTGGACCTTATGCTAACACTACAGGAAACCCAAGGCTCATTTACAGATGACGACATCAGAGAACATTTAGACCAACTTGCGTTTACTGCGTTTGACACTACTACAGAAACTTTGACATTTGGCTTAAAATTGATTGGATCAAATGAACGTGTACAACAGCGAATTTATGAAGAGTAAGTTTTTTCACAACTAATCTTTCTGATTTTAGAAAAAAAAAGTGTTTACGTACACGATAATTTAGTCCAGAATTTTTTTTTTTTTTTTTTAAAAGAAAACTCCCGCATTAGGAATAAATCCTGTGTCGCGGGGGACTTTACAAACATACATGAAACGGACACAAAGAACACCCAGACTCAGAACAACAATTTGTGGATCACACAAAGTGTCGTCCCATGTGGTGGTTTGAACCCACAACACTCGGCGTAGTAGGAAGCGGCGTGGCGACCGCTTAAACCACTACGCCATCCGTGCAGTCGAATTACAGGATATCGATTTTACTCCATCAATAAAACTATACTACACTAATGAATAACAATAATGTAGTGTAGTAGTAGTAATGAATAATTTAGTTATTACATATTTAAATATACGTATTTAGATTTCTTTTTTTTCTTTCCAACTAATTCTTATAAGCAACATCCTTTGTCTATGATTACATTCTAGCTTTCTTTATAATACTTTTTCCCATTTAATCCTTTAAGTACCTTATTGATGGCAGAAGGAATGAAGGCGTACGAATTAATTTTAGTCTTTGTTTTTTGTGTACAAATACCAATATTTTTAATATATGAAATTATCACCTTCATAATGATAAAAGGTTAAAAGAAGTCCTCGGAGATACAAACGCAGACGTAAGCAGATACGATCTACCTCAATTAGTATATTTAGATGCTGTAGTTCGAGAAATTTTGAGGACATATAGTACAGTACCTTTTGCTGCAAGGAAAATTCTCAAGGATATTAAGTTAAGTATGTTATTATTTATTTGTTCACGATCAGTTGTTACGTGGTTTAATCTCATTATCATGCGTTGCCCAAACTTTGCGAAAGGTCAGTTCCGAATGCATTTGATTCGTCTGATATGAATATCAGACGTCGCACTTTGTATGTTCTACATTACTGGCTTGCAAAGGGGCGTTCGCTGCCAACTCTATGAGAGTTGCAAGCAGTGAACATCTGAGACTCCTGTGACAGATCGTAACGCTCTCGGTCCATGAATAAGTGTGTCCCACGTTGTTTACTCTTTTCCTGAACCCTAGAGGCTGCCATTAGAGAACTTTGTATGTGACCTCAGCCTAGTCTTGCACTGATCCTGGCTGCAAATCCTAAGCTCCAGCAAGCTCGTCACATGATCTTTAAAATCGTGTCTCGTGTTTTTCACTTTTAACATTTTTGTTTTTGTGTTGTTTTTAAAATTATCTGTTTTTATGTATCGGCTTAGCCGCGCCTGACTAATATGCGCCCAAGCAATAAACTGAACCTCGCTTAATAGGCTCTTCTTTATTGATTGAGCTATTGATTGATTTATGACATCTGACGTCATCTAGTTTTAAAGTAGGCAGAGCTTGTACTGTAGACGCTTAATTGACTGATCGAATACTTACTGTGGAGGGACGGGTGTCATGTCCCTCCAACACAAAGGGAGGATCCTCCGACCAGGCGAGGTCATCATGCCTGGCGGGCCGCGGCCTAACGGTTGATGTTGGGAAATTGTATATATATGCTAATCGGCGAGGGAATTCTTTATATCGCGATACAGGATTAGCAATTCTTATTTTAGTAGTTACTCCGTAGTTCGGTGTGTCTTCATTAGATGGCGTTGTAGTATGTTTCTGTTTTTTGTATGTGGGAGTCGCCACATTACATACTGTTCTTGTAAATATATACATAGAAAACACGCAAACTCCAAAGATTATACAAACATTTGATCCTAGGACCACAGCACAGCAGTCGCATACGCTACCATATCACCATCAAAGCAGTCAATTACATAGATAATGTATTTCTTCGAAATAGATAATTTTATCAAAATAATTACAATACAATACATATGTATATAGTCCATTGTAATCTAAAAAGTACCGCTAGAGAGTTATGAAAGATTGAAGAATAGAAATGGATTCGATTACTACAATATCCGATTCTAAAGAGATATTGAAATCATTTCTTTTTATTTACTAATGGATTACAGTTTTACAGATTTATGTTTGTAACTGTTCAAACCCGTGTTTATTTATAATAAGAAGTAAGCTGTTTGTTTGCGCACAGTTTGTAATTCCTTCTATAATTAATATTTTATAGTGTAATATAATATAGAATAGAAAAAAACCCCATCTGAATGCTTTAATAATCCGTATACAAAAAAAACATGTTTAAAAGATTTTTGTCTGTATATTTGTTTATCTTTCTAGTGAATCCGGATATTCTATAGTGTGGGTGAACTTATTCCCAACTTTCATTGGCATTTTATTGGCATTTTATACATACATAAATATGTTTATAAATCCTCTCACACTGTTTGTGTTAACGCGATAAGGAAAAACATCTGAGTTTTTTTAAGTATACAAATTAAACTTTATCGTTTTCAGAAAACTATACTCTCCGTGCGAACAGTATTGGGGCTATTTCTGTTTTTGGTATCCATCGTCATCCAATATGGGGGGCTGACGTTGAAGAGTTCAGACCAGAGCGGTGGTTGGAACCTTCTCTAGCTTTCAATGACAACCCTAGTTTGTTTGCTGCATTCAGTCTAGGGAAGAGAAATTGCATAGGTAAATATAATTTTCAAGAAGGTAATGAAAGGATTACAAAAGGATCCTTATTTATCGTCTCGCACAAATTCAAACTTAATTTATCGTGTAGTCATGTTTATCTTATTTAAATCTTAATACTTGGTTTTTCAGTAGAAGTCTTCGCGTTACTAACGTAACTTTCTTGGCAGTACTGGAAAAATAATAGATTACCATGTATTGACGGGTCTATATTCATGGAAAGTCATTCTGATCATTCAGGAAATCAAGACGTAACATTAAAAAGCTAAATATTTTGGGGCAACATCAAGGATCTTTACTTTTCTGTTGATATGGGTTGTGTCTTGTATATCTTGTATCTTTCTATTGACCTGGATCTGGGATCTCGGCAAATGAGTAGACTGATCACCTGATGGTAAGTGTCTACTGTCGCCTCTGGACACCTGCAACTCAAAAGTCACAAGAACACCCCCTTGAGTCCCCTCACCCCAGAATAAGGGGATAGGATAGGATGGGCTCCGATGGCCTCCGATCATTGGGTGAAAACTAACAAAACAACTGAGGGCTTAGTATAAGTTTATTTCACATCAACTCGCTCTCGACAGGGAGTGCGTTCGGCTTTGGGATTAGAGCAGATTTCAGAGCGGGCCAATCGCCGAACGCGGTCACCGTGACGATCGAGTTGACTTAAAATAAATTCACACTTGGGCCTCTCTCCGTTCGAGCCGTCCATTTTGCCCCGAAAAATTGCCCTCCAACATATAAATACTATTTTTAATATACATAGGTGGTTTAATTTCATGTTTCATTTCAGGAAAATGGTACGCCATGATATCAATAAAGACAACTCTTGCTCACTTGCTGAGGCATTACCGTCTTTACGCAGACGACAAGAAAATGACGGTAAAATTCGATGTTTCAATCCGAGCGATCGCTGGACACGAAATTAGTTTAGAAAGGAGATAAAATAAGGCATTATTTTAATAAGCTATTAAGATAGTTTGATCACTAAATTTTAATTAGCTGGCTTGAGCAGAAATTCCGCTCGGTCTTATGTTATCAAAATAAAATGGATACTAAATTTTATATGACTATTACTTCTAGGGGTGGTTGCTATAGTCACAAGGATAGATAATTGGTATAATAAAATTGGAAATTTGTATATAAAAATTTGGTTATCATACATAATCGTAAAAATTAAACACAAAAAAATATTTAAAAAAAATGATTGAAAAATTTAGAAATTTTATGTTTTTTTTGTGGTTTGACCTCAGCCGCACTAGGAATATTTCGTGAGTTATTAGGGACTTTAAAATTGGAACAACCGACTAGGGACAACTAAGTAATTGTTGACTTTCACTCATTAAATAGTTGTCCCGACACACACACACTTGTGCCATATGAGAAGCAATTAACAACACTCTTAATGGCAAGACCATCCCAAGCTTTTCCTAAAAACATATTTATACACCTAGCTAAACGTGCAGACATAAATTTAATCCCAAATAAGGCACATACCTTTATTCGCTATTAACTTCATCGGTTTGACTACAAATCTGTTATTTATGACAAAACATATTTATTGTAATACCGGACATATAAAAAGCACGTGACTTGACCAACAAGTGACGCTAATCATTTTAATACGGTAATTGGACAAACAACAAATTTATATGATTCCTGTTTGTCCGACGAGAATTGACGCGATCACGTAATAGTCATTACAGACCTTTTAATTGCCTGATGCCAATTCAAATACGAGTGTCCTGTTGGTGGTCCGACTGCTGAGTACGCAGGTTTGATTCTCAGCCTGAACAAATAATAGTGTGATGAGCACGATCATTCATTCATTCATTCATTTTGGTACAGTTAATAAAACTATTGTATTTTCATCATTATTTGAATGGAATAAATCGGTTCGAATAGGTTACACGGGCTTTGGACAAAAGTTATGCGTTAAATCACATTTACATAAATTTATCTACATATTTTTACGTCATTTTTACAATTTAACATGAAAATTGGTAAAACAAATATTGTATTGGACCCACAGACTCCTGGTATAATGGAAAAAGATTTCTCTGTTATAACTATAATAATAATAATTACTTCACACATCTTACACACGGCTGTCTGATGCCAAACTAGGCACAGCCTACGTATGGTGACGAGACTACCGATAAAAATAATTAAATATTTCTAAATACATACACATTAGAGATAAATTGCACTCAGACACAGAACAAATGATCATGCTCATAACGTTTGTCCTGGGTGGGAATCGAACCCACGACCTCCGGCTTAGCAGTCAATTGCACTAACCACTAGACCAACAGGCTCGTCATATAATGGACCTTTCATTGGACAGACGGACTACAGAGTGTAGTGACCATTATATTCATATGAAATACGTAATTTGCGAGAATGACTTATCGTTTTAGTGATATTACGTGTTAGAAAACTAATAATTTTTTACATGGAATTTTTGTCACGTTCAAAGTATTATAAGTATGTTTTTCCTTGAAATAACTAGTATAGTAAATAAATAATTTTAATCCCCGATGAATTTTAATAACTATAACAAGTTTTGTCGGTTCGAGTCTAACCAGCAATTAAATAATAAATTGGGAAATAAAACCGGGAAATTTATCTTTCACCCAGATTTCAGAACTTAAAAAATTTAATGTTTCTTCTTCTAATAAATTACATTTCTAGAGACAGATCCAATACTAAAAATAATCACTCGTAACAATTATATCAAATCAAGGTGAGTCAGTTTATGATGTAATAATCATTATCATCAGTCATCACAAAATTCTTAATAAATCGCTTCTGTCTAAAAAAGGATCAAAATAGTTGGAAAGTCAAAAGGATCTACCTGATGAGTAAATCGATCTAAGCAACAAGTTGCTAATCTAAGCTATTAAGTATATCACGATTCGTTTGTTGAAAAGTTATTTGGAAAATGTAGCTGGGATTGGTATTTATGAAGTCATCAATTCTTTATTATTAACAAATAAACTAAATTCTTTTATAAGCCGTTTCACAAAGTTTAGTCGCCGAATTTGGATAAGGAAAACTACACTTTATTATATTTTCCGGTTCTAGCAACGTCGGCTATATTTTGTCTTCATTATTTAAAACAATCCAAGAGTGGTAACAATTATAGATGACAAATAACAGCTTATCTTAATCTTTCAAAGGAATAACTGGATATGATACATGGCATGATAACACACGCCACTAATGTGTTTCCTAATAAATCGAGTCTGTTAACGTTGTCTAACCATTCTCATCTTTAACTTACTACGGCAACAGTGCATTTTTCCTCTGAGCCTTTTCTCCCAAACTAGGTTGGGGCACGGTCTAAGTCCACTACAATACGACTGAACTTCGTTTTTCTACGCGGAGCGACTGCCATCCGACCTCCACAACCCAAGTAGCCTACTAACTAGCTGGCTAGGCGATATCGAAGTACTGTAGAAATACTGTTGTTGAACTTTTTAGGGTTCCAAAGATTGCCCTGTGATAATCGTCACAACTGTGTGTTCGTATGGCAACAGCAATAATGCATCATGGGCATATACTTGTATTGTCACACCCAACTCAACAGCAAGAAACTTTCTATGACAATATAACAACAATTCAATAAACCACACATATCTAAACTATTTAGTACAGTAACTTACATTAGTACGTAAGACACAAGAGTTTTCTAAAGGTCAACAACATTAATAAAATAATATGTAATAAATGTAAATTTATTAATACAGGTAGATCACCTCTAAATTCCCCCTTAAACCGGCTAGACCGGTTATGGCTACATTAACCGCAAGTCACCAGGTGGAGAATATGGGTTTTGGCAATTAATTACTATTAATAATATAAAACATATCATTTGAAAGTATCTCAGAATATAATCTTATGAGAAAACTAAAGTTTATTGAAACTAAGAAATAGATTAGCATAAATAAGATCATGTTTTTTATACATAATTAAATTTAGGAAGTATTTACTGAGTAGTATAATCATTGGCTTTGTACAACACCAGTTACATGTTTGGTAAATAATAACTGAACACTGACACCCACAATACTGGTTAATACCTTGTGTGGGTGGAAGTGCTTTCAACTATTTATGTCATACCCAAAATCACTATTAAAACTCAACTGTTTTTTGTGTATTTTGTCTGTTTTTAGTCTAATGTTGAAATAAATTATTATTTTCTCTATTGCATTTTAAAATACATATTACTTACATTTTTAAATATACAAAAGAAAAAAATACATTTAAAAATTAAAAAAAATACACCACTGACATCGGGTACAGGGACCAAGACACCAGCGGTTAAGTCTCCAAAGGTAGGAACTTCCTCACTATACGGGCCGTGTCAAGGAGAGCTGTCTTCTGCATTATACCCTCGAGCCAGCCGTCTAACGTGAGCCTCTTAAGGTGTTGGTTCGAGGCAAATTATTATTATTATTCTCTTTATTTACTTTATATACATATTATTTACATTTTTAAACATTCACTTTATAAAAAATTATAACAAAATACATTTAAAAATATAAAAAATAGTAGACCACCGACATCGGGTACAGGGACCAAGACACCGGTGGTTAGGACTCCAAAGATAGGAACCTCCTCACTATACGAGCCGTGTCAAGGAGGACTGCCTTCTGCATCAGACCCTTGATCCAGCCGTCCAACGTGAGCCTCTTAAGGTGTTGGTCGAGGCTCTTGGCTATCAATCCGTGAGCAGATACGACTATCGGAACAATGATCACTGAATCAACATTCCACATATCGACAATCTCGTGAGATAAATCCAAATATTTAATTTGTTTTTCTTTTTCAACTTTCACGAGATTCTCGTCATGAGGAACGGCGATATCAACAATCATTGCGCGGCGCTCTAATCGATCTATCAGCACAATATCAGGCTTATTGGCAACAATAGTCCTGTCTGTGATAATAGATCGATCCCAATACAACGTGGCCCGACCATTCTCGAGAACTGGGTCGGGCACATACCTATAGTATGGCACCTCTAGATTCACAAGATGGTATTTAAGGGCAAGCTGTTGGTGTACGATCCTGGCTACTTGGTTGTGCCTGTGCAAATATTCTCCGTTAGCAAGACGAGAACAACCAGAAATAATATGCCTGATTGATTCGCCAGGACGGTGGCATGCCCGACAGATGTCAACCGTACCATCTTTCAGGATATATTTCCGATAGTTATTCGTCATGATAACTTCGTCCATAATCGCACAAACGAAACCTTCAGTTTCTCCGAAGAGGTCACCATACCATAGCCAAGTCGTAGATGCTTTTAAATCTATATCGGACCCGTTTAGGGCCCGATAAAACAGACCATGGAGCTCTTTGCCCTTCCATACTTCCCTGCGATCATTAACACTAAGTACTACAGGTCTGCGCCAATTCTCTTTAGCCAGAGCGAGCGGGGTGAAGCCGGTATCCACTGCAACTACATTGCGATGCACTCCCACGTCGGTATGTAGAAAATATTCTCTGAGATTGCATATCTCGCGATTATGTAGGGTCTTGATATTTAATAGTCCGCGACCCCCAAGCCTTCGCGGGATATACAATCTCATAACTGATGAACGTGGGTGGTGCATTCGGGATGCAGTCAGCAGTGTACGGACTTTCCTGTCAAGGGCATCTAATTCGGTCTGAGTCCATCTAAGTATACCAAAGGAATACATCAGAACCGGCATGACCCAACCATTGCAGGCTCGCACCTTGTTGCCCCCTGATAAAAGACTTTTAAGTACTTTTTTCAAGCGGCCAAAAAAGCGTTCCTGCAATGTTTGTTTCATGTTAGATTCTGGTATTCCCAACGACTGTGATATACCCAGATACTTGTAAGTTTCAGTGGCAGACAGAGATCTGAGTTTTGTTGAATCTGAAAGCTCTATTCCTTCAGATTCAACTATCAC